GTAGATATGCATTTAGTTTTTAGAAATTTAATTTCATCCGGGGAGAGAGAGGAAGGGGGGTTGTAAATATAACGTTTTAAGTACAAAAAAAAAGATTTTGTTTTAAGCTACAAAGGTTAAAGATTCTCCTGTGCATATACAATTGTACAAATGTTTTGGAATTTTCTTTTTCATTCGGGAGAAAAAATTGGCACATAAAAAGTAGTTTGTTTGTTTACATTAAAGATATATTTTTATGCTCCCGAGTCCCGTAATCAAATATTCGGGAGTAAAAGTATATATAGTTTTTATCCTGCCCGTCGTCTATATGTCCGCAAAAATTTTAACCTTTCCATAACTTTTAATTGATTGGAGCTAAATTATGGTTTTCATTTTTCACATGTGTGTTCCTTTTGACTAAACCATCCCTTGGGTACCAATATATTTGACATCTTGACTTTGACCTTGGAGTTTGACCCAATTTTACACAAATTAACCTTACTTTTACCTTGAGCATAACTTTTGGACATTTGGGAATTGGCTTTTTTCCTTGAGACAAGACCTTCCTTTGAATACTTGTATCAACAATTTTGACCTTTGACCTTGACTTTGGAGTTTGAACTACTTTTAAAAACTTTAACCATAACTTTTTAACAGTAGGTGCGAGGTTCTTTATATTTCGCTTGTTTATTTCTAATGACAAGGTTTTTTCTTTGCGTACCACTAACTTGGAGCCTTTGATCTTGACCTTTGTAGTTTGACATACTTTTAGAAAACATTAACCTTGGCCATCATTTTTGAATGGTTGGTGCTTCGGCTTTCATGTTTACCATGTATATCCCTTGACACAAGTCCTTTCTTTGGGTAATAACATTTTTGATCTCTTGGCCTTGCATGAATTTTATCTTTCATTTGAGACTTTAACCTCTGCATATGGGTGCATTAGCTGCAGAACTGTAGCTCTCCGAAAAAATAATTTGACAGACGGTCTATCAATATATTATTCGGAGAGCTACAGTACTGCAGCTAATGGGTGCATCAGTATTTCTCATACACGTCTTGTTTTAGAAAGATATTTTAATGCCCCCTGGATATACGGTATACAGAGTAGTTTTTGCCCTGTCTGTCTGCCTTATGTCTGTTTATCTGTTTGAATTCAAAAACTTTAACCTTGCCCATAACTTTTGAGTTGATGGGGCTATGGCTTTCATACTTTAAAGGTGACAAGACCTTTCTTCGGGTACCAATTAGTTTGGCCTCGTGGTCGTGACCTTGGAGTTTGACCCACTTTTACCCCAAATGTACATGAACTTTAATTTTGGTCATATCTTTTGATTAGTTGATGGCTAGGTGCCATGGCTTTTAAACTACACATATGTATGTGTCAAGACCTTTCAATGGATGTAAAAATATTTGACCTTTTGACCCTGATTTTAGGGTTTGACTCACTTTCTAAAAAACTTAAACCCTGACCATATTTTTTCAATCGCTAGTACGAGGGCTTTCATATTTCACAGGTATATTCTTCATTTGGAGACCAACAAGTTTGACCTTTTAACCTTCGAGAAACTTGAAACCTGCATAAGCTACCATATGGGGGCATCACTGTTTCACAAGCACATCTTGTCAGAATTTTTTATTGTCATGAGGTGTAAAGGATATCGGAATTTACGAATTGACATTTTATCGATCCTTGGGCCCAATTGGGGATCGAGAAGTATCAATCTAGAAACACAAGCGTACATGCTGCTATAATGTTCTATGTACATGTAGATAAGAAGATGGGTACATGCAAATATCATTTCAATAAAGCATGGCATAAATCTAACGCAATGGAATTGTAGAAGAGTGATCTTGAATAAATTTCTTAACCACAATAAACAGAATAACCTGTAGATATAAATATTCTCTAAGAAACATATTTATTTCCTCGTTTCCGATTATCTTGATTTAAAAATTTCCTACCACTGGCGTTTATGCTTATGATATTTGACATACTTGCTACTAATGCTGGCTGATTTCTGTCAATATTCTCTGCTTCTTTCTGAGAAGGCTCCTGTTTTGTATCAGAGAATTTGGAAGCTCCTTGTCAGTTCAATACACAAAAAGGAAACAAAATAACGTTATATATAAGTAATTCTTTTTCAATGTCTCCGCTTTTATAATTCAGGTGCCTTCAGTGGGGAACTTAATGCAATGTGTACATAGCGATTTATTTTGATTATAAGTGATCCTTTGAAGACGCAATTACTAGTAATCGAATTTATTGGTGGTTTTTCTCAAAATACGAACCAATCTTCGCAAAAATGTCCCCGACAGTTTTTGTAATTTCATGAAATAATTGCATATTTTTTCACATATTATCTTGACATCTTCTCTAGTGATTCCCTCGGTTTTTTTTAATTTCTTTGTCGGTGGAACCATTTATGTAGTGTCCAATTTTACAGGATCCTTTGTGATATTATGACATGTTATTATACAAACGTCATGTTGTGTGATATTTAAGTCAACCACATCTCAACAACAGATACATTAAGTGAAAAATAATTATAGAAGTTTTTTATCAGTAGTTTTAATTAAAGCGGGTAAAGCAGAAGTCTCGTTAGAGGAAATCTCAGGAAATCTCATGATTACCCAGAAAGGTCTGAGGGCTTTTGATCAATGTGCTCTCATCAGGTTCCTTTTTTATCAAGGCGTTAATTGTAGGCTCTAATATGCTGAAATAATTGATTTTTCCAGAGCGAATTTGTCTCTAAATCGTCATCAATTTGCCAATTTCGGTGAAGGGGAGAAGAAATTCTGTAAGCTTTTCATTATTTTACACTTGTCTAATGAAGAAAGTAGTCATGGCTGAAATTAACTGGATTGAGAAAGGGCTAGAGAGAGAGAGAGAGATTAACTAAAAAGGAGACGGGGAGATAAAAAGAACTAGAGAAGAAGAGAGATTGAGAGATGGAGATAGATAAAGACAGAGAGAGAGAGTGAGAGAAAAATGAAGAGGGGTGAGGGGGTTAATATCAACTACAGGTTCCATGTACCACCTTATTTGCAGCATTATTTGATGGGTAAATATAAGAGTGACCAGTTACAATGTATTCAATATGCGTTTGCCTCCCCAATAATTGGGTCAAAATTCTTAGATGGAATATACAAAGTGAAAATTAAAATATAAATTTGCTTCCCCAGTCCAAGGACTAAAATGAATAATGGAATTTAAATTATAAGAACTTATTTTTCACTTTCATATGTCTGTAATTCACCGATACTTCAGATAAAAGAGATTTTAGTCTGTCTTTTTAAGCTGTAAATCATCTCTATAAAGATGTGTAACCCTGACATTTCACAAATAGTACTGAGCTATATACAGTATGTTAAAAATACATACCCTCTTATAGTTCTCAAGATATAAAGTGTGATATGCGTACAGACAGGCAGACAGACAGACACAGACGACTGAAAAACTTAATGGACAAAAAAAAATCTAATGAAGAAAAATCAAATTTTTATCATGAATGTAGTACATAGTACACTTTACATGTGTGATCCTTTGAACGACGACTTGCACATATTTATAAAGGTTAACAATAAAACGATTATGTTTGTTTAATGTCAAGACAATCTTTTACAAAAGGGTCCTTCTCCAGCAACGCTAGTGGTAGGTATAAAATACAATGCACTGCGTTGATTACATGTATTGGTTGTCAACGAAATAGACAAGTTTTTAAACAAGATCAAAGTTTTTATTCATTCTGAAGCATGCCTTCCCCTAATTCATCACGCTTTAACAAGGAGTTTTTATTATGGCCGTATTTCATATCAAATCGCTTCAACGAGTTTTATGAAGCTTCAACTACCCTCGTAAATATCCTGTCGGTGTATTAGATCTCAACACGTGGAAGTCTCCCAACTTAATGGATCCAGCTTTTTTTCATGAGGTGATTTGTGGCCTATGCCTTGTTATTCCGTATCCATCGTCGGATTTCTCGATTGGCTGTTGGACATTTTTCCTACCGTATTGGTCTATTATATTGGATTTTATATTAGTGGCAGTGTCAGTATTAGAGAACGTCGGGATCAGGATTTTGACATCTCAACACGCTGTATACTACCACATCAATCACTGATTCAGGTTTTAGCAGATTTTCTGCTTTAATTGTGACTTTGTATCGATGTAAATGGTCGGTTATTGATACATTGCATCAAGAGAAATTCAATTCAAATCTCATAATGGCCCCCGGAATTTGACTACCGTTCAGAAAGTCGAGATCATATAACTGAGATAGAAATGAATTCGATGACAACACGTTCAGCAATATTTTGAGAGCTTTGTCATGTAGCATTAATTCAGTTTTAAAGAGAGAGAAAAAAACACTATGTAAAGTTAACGACGTAAATTCGAACACTATTGGACCAGACCGCAAGAGGCCATTCAACCATTCTAATCTGGTATAAGCCTAGAAATAAAGCCTATAGAATTAACGAGCAAAGGTTAATTTCAGCTGGAACCATAATCCGCTGACTCTGAGCGTCATCATTAATTTAAACACTGTTCATACCTTCATCTCCTCTAAGTACTGTCTCAATGAAGTCATTGGCCAGATATACCTGTTAACTAATTCATTAACTTTATTTATTCAGCGTTTGTGCCATTAATTGTTTGGGGGTTGACAATATATACAGAATATAAACATAGTATATACAATCTTACGATATCCTTTTTACTTTTAATCTACTTAAATTACAACTTATCTAAGGAAGTGGTTACTGAACTGAAAATTTAACGCAATTTAATATGTACATGTAATGCTCTGTGTTTTATTGTTCTTGATTACAAGAATAATAACAGTTTGGAGAAGGTTAAGTTTGTACACATAAAATTTAATGTTTTCTTTTAATGGGGAGAGATAACAGAATACAAGTTTTTTGTTATAAATTAAGCCGACCTGAATACAATTAATGTGTATTTAATGAAGGTATATGCGACACGACAACGCTGTGACCCAGGGAAAGTTTGTTGCGTGCGTCAAACTTGATGAACAACAAGTTTGATATTAGTAAACAAGAAGTACCTCACTAACCGTGTCTTCTTATAAAACAATTGAACAAAACAATTTACATGATAGTCCGCATTGTGCAGTCTCTCCTGGAAAAGTGCTTCCTTAACACACATTGGTTATGATTTCTGTGATACAGAGCTCAGTGATGGTAATTATTGTCAATTTAACTCCATCGAAGCGCTCTCTTCGGTATTTTATTCCTGTATCTCCCAGTGGTTTACAGATTAAAGAGTGATAATAACAAACAATCTGTCAATATTCAATTTAGTTAAAATCCAGTCACACGACAAGTGGTTTATTTAAGCTACAAGGTGTATTTAAATGGTTGGTCGTGTAATAGCAGAGTTCTATGTTAAACCATTCCGAATGGAAGACGGACCTGTACTTTAAGTCTGGTAGCGATGTGCAGTGGTCAGAATTCCTAGTGGACCAATGTGTAATTTACAATCATTGATTGATCACCTGGAAGTCAGCGGGATAACACCACTTACTGCCCTCTCCAAGCGTTAGAACGGAATACACCGCAAATATTGGTTCTACGTGCATCACCAGCTGATTCCTATTGATAAGGTATTATTTTCTTGGAGACTCAATATCAACTTACTAGGCTCTTAATTAACAGAATGACATTTACGTGCATAATCATATGCAATAATATCTTATTACCTGGGCCTATTAAGAAGATTTCCCTTACCTGTAAACACAGATGATGTTAACCAGCTCAGATTGAGGTATGACTTGTAATTCTACTATGGAATCTGTGCATGATTACCAGCTTCAGCAAAACATACTGATCACAGTCCTGTTTCTGGCTTTGTTCACGGGATGGAGGGCCTTCTACGAAAGGATCAAACGCACCCTTTGTCATGTGACGGTTGTCGTTATAGGTGGGGGCCCCGTGGGACTATTGTCTGCTTTCCTGGCATTAAAATCCGGTCGTGCTTCAAAAATTGTCATCTTCGAAGAAAAGGACAGGAAAACTTTATTGAATGGTCCATACCAGTTGACATTTGATATCCAAAGTGTAGAATATCTTAAGAGGTGTGGAATTGATTTTGATAACATTGAAGGTTGTTGCCATGATAACTGTTTTACAACAAAAGTAGGTGTATTTCTGGAGTACATACTTGACCACCTCTCATCGGCCAGGGTCAGTGTGCGCTTTTCTTGTAAGGTAACCACAGTTTTGTTTTCTCTTATAGTTCTTGTAAAGCTACTCCTATAGCTTTGGAGTAATCTTTAAAAAGTTTTCTATAGCTTAATTCGGAAAGCTTAATGATTGTTCTATAGCTTTGGAAATCTTAAAAATTGTCAAGCTAATCAAAGGATTACAAGTATGTATCTCTGTTAGTACATGAGATACAACAAGTTATGATTTTTCAGTCATAATTATTGACCTCAGAGTTTCCAAGAATTCTTGCCTTCTTGCGCCATGTAATACGAACAAAGATTAAATCTTAAAGGTATATCTATCAGTGCATCTGTATATAATTTATTTAAATCTTTACCCCATTACCTTTACTAAGTGACTTCATAGACAGCAATTCATCACAAGAAAGTTATAGAAGATAGTTCTCGTGCATCATTTAATTGTCAGATAATATTTATACATAAGATGTAATTCCCTTTAAGATTCCTTTGAGAGAAACTCTGTGATCAGATCTTCATGAAATACAGATAATGAGGAGTGATTCTGCAGTCAGAATGCCTATGTGCTTTATGAGTTCTGTACAAATTAGACCTGTATTTTTTAGTAGAAAATGTTCTACTTTCACAAGACTTTGAAATAAACGTTACGTTGCCATTTACGTCTCTTTGGAGATAAAATCGTACAGACGTACTGTCTAAGTACGCATTGTACGACTGATTCTTTATTGCACATTAATGGCTGCTAACCTGACATGTAAAATTAAATACCGGGACTGATCCCCACAAAGTGCCAATATCATTACTGCTTTAATTAAAGGCTGAACCTTTTTGGGGTTGTATATAATCAGCTCATAACCTGATAAACTGTACCGCAAAGGTTACGATTTCATCGCTAACAATTTAATGATTTTATCAATTTACCCCTCACCCCGTACATGTAGTTTGCGATTAAACCTTTTCATTTGCTTTGAACATATTTTTGGTTTAGATTAAGACAAGTGAACTACCTCTGTAGTACTGAATTTCCTTTGAAAAAAAATGTTATAGATTGACCACAGTGGTGCAATTTCTTGTGACTGTACACAAATGGGCTTAAAAAATCAAATGTACTTAAAATCAAAATAAATGAGATGTAGAATTGAATTGCAGGACACTTAATTGAAGTATGTATATTTGAAATTTTGATAAATTTGAAATAGATATAAAGATATAATTCATTTTCAATTTTTGAGTGCATTGACTATTGTACACAATAAGTTTTGAACTTTTATTTTGAAAGAAGTGTAAATTGAAAAAGAATGAATACTGGTCTCTAATATATGTAAAGGCTGGTACATTGCTCATCTCCATAAAAGCAAAATGTTATTTAATGTTTATACCAGCTACCAGTGATGAAATTTTTATTGACGTTAAAAGCCAGACATCTCTACAATGTTACAATAGCATCTATCTCTTTGTTTACAGTTTAAGGCAGGCACACGTCTTTCATTGACTGAGCGATACGCATAATTGCATGTAGATTGGTCTTATTTGTTCTAAGCAAAAACAATTATCACTTTAAAAAAAAACTTTAAACCACACGTGCAAATTAGCGTGCTGGAAAATGCAAATGCAGGTACCACATTGTACTTGCAATCTTGAGTCGGGGCGTACTCCCTCGTAGTAATTTTTATCGGGACTGTACTATTTTTGCCCTGTTATAATGAACCATTTACACTCTGAGTTTCTGATTTCAGATACTTGTAAGAGATTGGACTGCAATTAGCCCACAGTCGGTCTGAAAATGATACTGGAAAATTAAGTGTTGATATATATCTTTCTGATGCCCGTGACATATACAGTAGACATAAATAGGATCCTACACACTGACTGTACGTACACCTGAGACGCCTACTAGAGTATGTTTCAGGTTTTAATATTGAAGGAAAGTTTTTATTTTTCAAATCTTCTTTAAAATTACAAGATAAAAAAGCAACTTGAGTAAATTGGGTTTGACTTTCAGATTTATATGGTTGTCTGCACTAGCAAAATGTTTACGTAATTTGCGATTCCATCATCATTCATCTTCACTTTTTGAACATGAAAGCAAATGTCTATCAGGGTAATTGGATTTAGCGTATATCTATTTATTTTTATACCAATTTTTTTTTTCTGTTTTGATGTATGAGGAGAGATCAATACAGGATATGCCTTACCCCGAGCAATAATTTCTGTAATATATTTTTCTTCGTACAGGTATTTTTGAAAAGAACATTAAATTTTAGGAAATTTAGGTAGTGCAAGATTTAAATGTGAAAAACTTAATTTTATATGTAAACATTATAATTTTTTTCCTGTAGCTATAAGTGCCATAAACTTTTATCTAAATATAAATCATATGCCGTAACCAATAAACATTCAGAGATTTTGGTTTCAAATAATTTTTTATTATTTAATTCTAAAATTTCGAGACAAATCTTTAAAAATAACTGAACGTACAACGTACAACAATCATAGTTTTACAACTATTTACAACCAAAAAAGACAAACTGTTAAAACTGTTAATCATCGTATAATGTTAGGGTGTGAAATATTTTTATTTATATCAAAACAAATAGGATTGGTCATATTTATGCGATACACTTTAAAGGTTTGGTTTGTTTTCACCAAAGAGATTATTATGTTACTTCGATTAATATTGGTGTTGTATTAGATTTAATTTAAAAGTATGACGGACTATAATTTCATTCATAAGTATTCTAAACACACCAAGAAAATTTAATCTTCTTAGTCCTGAACTTAAGGTGTTCGATTAATGAGGGATTTTTAAATATACTCAAAATATTACATACTTGCTGCTCTCACAATGGATCAGTAAGGTTGATAAAATGATTGACAAGACATTTCTGTGTTATTTTATTATTTTTATTTGACAACACCAAACCGGGTTTTATTTGAAAACAGTGGCGAGTTCCCTTGTTGCTGTTTATAACAGCATGTGTACTTATTCCGCACACACACACACACACACACACACACACACACACACACACACACACACACACACACACACACACACACACACACACACACACACACACACACACACACACACACACACACACACACACACACACACATCTTATTCACACACACACACACACACACACACACACACACACACACACACACACACACACACACACACACACACACACATACACACACACACACACACACACACATTCACACACACACACACACACACACACACACACACACACACACACACACACACACACACACACACACACACACACACACACACACACACACACACACACACACACACACACACACACACACACACACACACACACACACACACACACACACACACACACACACACACACACACACACACACACACACACACACACACACACACACAGTGACTGAATTCTGACTAGTACGAATTTAACAAGAAGACGTCATATATAGGTTTTATATCTGCTACATTTACCCCGAATTCTTTAAGATTTTCTACTTGAGAGATTCTTATCTTCTTGGCGTTTTACTAGGTACACATGCAATGAAAATACATCTTAATTTTATGGTGGAACACTTTGATTTTGGTATTCATTTATATAACTGCTTCACAGTTCAGTTTTTTTCGGTTAAAGTTGAAACGCATTTAGTTAAAATCTGTAAATGGCATAGTTGCAAAACTTACATTTTCCAAAGATCACCGGGTGTTTAATTTGATTTGAACATTGGAATGTTTGACATTAAATAAAAATCAATTTAGGCCTAAAATAAAATTAAGTTTGTTTGCAGTTGCCTACCGACCAACTGAAAATGCACCCGACCCAAACTTTTTTATAGCCATTTGGTAATTTGATTTTTTTTTTTTTTTTTCAATTTTTTTTAAAATATTGAAAAGTTTCGATTTCAAATTTTGACACGTTTTTTTATCATTCAATGGTTTATAACAAGAGGTGAGCTTATTCATGTCTAGTAGGTTTTTGAAAACCTCTTTTAATTGTTATCTAACAAAAATCTGATTTTTTTATCAAAAAAAAAAAAAGAAAAAAAAGAATGCCTACCTACTGACCCAGTCTAAAAATTATAGGTCGGCAACTGCAAACAAAGAATTTTTTAAGCTTGGCCTTATTTCTTTATTGTAATTCTTATTCCATTTCTAACATCCATTTTTGATATCTGATGCAATAACATTTGTTGGAAAATATTTGAAGTTTTAAAAAAACAAACATTTTATGACAAGACAGCATACTCGAGAAAGTCGATGGTTTCGTGGAATAAGATATCGAGGGAAAAAGCCGGCTCATATGTTTATATTCAGACCGCCTGATGGAAATAAACCTTTTAATTATTGATGAGCAATTTTATCTTTATGTCTTGTTAATTAATTTAATGCTTAATAATGCATCTTCATAGGCGGTTTTCATAGAAGGTAAACAATTGCTAAGAGGTTGTGCCCTGCCTGTTTATTCGAATGTAATCAAACAAATTTGTTTAATATTCTCATTATTTTATCTTTTTTAAATCTTTTATCTACCATGCTCAGAACTTTCCAATAAAACCCCACTAACACGGGAATTAATAGAAGAAAGAAGTACTATAATACTGATGTTTATTTAATTTTATGTTGCAGTTTGACAAAGAAACTTGTAAAGAGTTGGATGAAATACAGGGGCGACTACTTGTGATAGCCTGTGATGGCAGAAACGGTCAAGCCTCCAGATTGCTGGGACTGGATGAATTTTCAGAACAACATTCATGTAACGCCTACGGCGCGATTGCAGCCATAGAACGCACAGAGGCGAGGGATGTTCCTACTCCAGAAAAAAGAGTCCACAATTTAACATTTGATTTATCAGCTTATGGCGCATATCATTCTGAAAATGACAATTCTCCGGGATTTAGTCTAAAAGTGTTCGGAAACAGCAAACATCGATATATATCACTAGCCATCTCCAAATGTGAATCGCCAGTAGTAAAAGCTCTCAGGACGATTCTCGATAGATCGGTAAGTATCGATCTGTATCGATTGTAATTCTCACTGGCTTGAACCCAGCTGATAAGATTTTCCAATTCATAATGTCTTTCCACCCTCACAATTTTAGTCGGTTCAAAGTAAAAAAAAAACTGCATTAATTTCATCTGATATAGTTTTTTTTTTTTTTTTTTTACCAATTATTGCAAAAAAAGAATATGTTGCCAACTTGCCATATTATTTAAGATGGGAGACATAAACAAACAGAAGTATATGTCAGCATAAAAAAATTGTACATCTTCTGTTAACATTACTACAAAAATAATGTAAAAAGTGGTTCAAATGCATAATTCTGATGCTGAAAGTTCCATAATACTTGCTACTTATCAGAAACTTTTGAATTGTGAATATCAGGGAAACTATTTTACGTTAGAAGTTCAATAAAAAAAAATGCCTGGATGAGATACCCGAGAAGGAGTTATTTCCCCTGACATTTTTTAAAAGATTGAATAATTTATTAAATAAAGAAAATATACATATTTTATATTATTTTACTAAATAATATTTATCATTACACCTATTGAAAAGCATTCTTCGAAAGATATTTTTGTATTAACAACAGTTTTTGCAAAAACCTATGACATCACAGGAGGATGGAAATACCTTAAAAATAGGTTAGGACATGTAAATATATTTGTCCAATAAAATGACGAGAAGAAAAGAACGTGTAGATTGGAAGGTATAATATATGTAAATGTAGATAGCATGTATCAGCATGCTGTTGATAATTGCCTTACGTACATTAAAAGCTTAAATAGAAAGTTTAAACTTAATTTCAACTTTAAATGTAATATGTTATATAAAACTATGGCGAGCAGTTGATTTTTAATTTTGAAATGCATATTTCTGGAATGCAATTGAATTTCGGGTTTTAAAAATTTTCACACTATATTGGTGTGAGACTAATTTTATAAACGCATCGATGTAACTATAAATTAATTAGAGGTTACTCATCTTTTTTTTCCCTGTCTACTATAATAAGTTAATACACATGTAACAGTACATGATGAAGTATATCAGGTACATGTATATAAACTATATATAGATCTATATACACATGACTGTAGTATCAAGGTTATAAATGCCAACTTACCCTAAGTAATATTTACTAAACTCACAGATCGAAATTGAATGCTCCGTAATTGAATGTCATGAAGAAAAAAACAGTGGAATATAGTTGCTTTAAAAAAAATGAATATTTTTGCAAAATTAAAGACCAGGCATAAATTTTACACAGTACTTTTCTCAGGTTACATTTCATTTGGTGTCCCGATGCACTATTTTTAATAAAGCTGTTTGTGTGTTAATTTTAAGCCAATATTCAAGTGAAACTTCAAAGACCAGTTTAACACTTTCAACCTCTGATGTTCTGTATGGCGTTGTACAAATGACCTTGGCAATAACTCTGAGTTATCATATACATGCACCCCCAACCACTTAACATTTATGCAAAGTACATAGATATTATGGGTTATGAACATAGATATTATGAGTTATTATATCTTCATTACAACACAATAAACCAGACAAGAATTCTATGCTTCCAAATACACCGTGGTATTGATTTAGTCGAGATGGTCGTTTTGATAAAGTCATGACACCCCTATGGTTATTAGCTACTTTGTGACAATGTTAACATCCAATTATAATGATTCTGACATAAAGTTTTGCACTTTCATGTCAGTATGAACTTATTCAAATGATCTTATTAAATAATCTATGCCCACAGCACAATTTACACACATCCCATTCCCGTGGCATTGATCTATGTAAAAGATCTTTAGTTCACGTTCAAGATATTGTTTTTTGTCATAAGCTGCTATCTGATCAAGTATAAAGTTTCCATAAGTCTAAAAATGGAAGCAAGGTATAAATGTTGCAGAAATATATAGAGAATGACAGCTCGGCGGGATCAAAATCGAGAACAGTAATACCCCCACCCACCCACCAACCACCCAACCCCGATCTTTTGTTTTGACGCTTTGATAAACCATTTCCATAAACATTTTGGTAAAAGCTGACTGAAAAAAAAATCCTTATTGTTCATCAAGACTGAAGAAATGGTACAGGGTGTTTTTTTTAATGGATAGCATGCTCTTGTTCTGTCGTCGATACTTCTTATATATCATACATTGCTTTGTAAGTGCTATATACATGTAAATCGGATAGTGGTCATTGTTTTGTTGATTCGAGCATTACCAAAAGGTGATGGAATGATGAAATTCTTGCAGATTTTTGTTATGTGTAGATAGTTGTTCCTTTCCTTTGATCTGACAAAGACATGCTTGAACATGTTAAGGTGCGGGTAGCTGTAAGATTTTCTTGTTAAGGACCCCTCTGACGCATGTATCGACGTGTTCCTCGCTGTTTACGTCAGATGAATCGCTATATCCCTTGTTAACAGATGGTAAGGCATTTATGTCGCCATTGCCAATGGACCCGTCTTCGGTATTTCGGAGTGGATTTTATCTGAAATATTGGCGGAAAATGATGAATTAGATAATGCATTGATCTGGATATGTCGGGAGACAAGGACTTGTGAAATTCATGTACAACCATCACCGCAGACTTTTCGTAGTCTAAATGGGTGAAGAACCCTTGATAATGCGTAACAGCGTAACAGACAAATGATTTAGGATAGTAAGAAAATAAGAAACAACGTTTTTAGAAGAAGAAAAAAAACTTACACATGCCTCCCAAAAAATTCAAAAATCGAAAATCCTATATCATGGGGAATCGCCAAGAAAATTTGGTTGCCACAGAAGTAAAGAAGTCCGAACCTGCCGTGTGTCCTTTCTTCTTTACTTCTGTGACAACCACATTTCCTTCATACATTAATACGTAACCTTCGATTGATCTAGACTACAACAAAAATAGGAGAGGGAGCAATCAGGCTTTCAATGAATATTTTCAATAATAAGTTATGATGGGGGGGGGGGGGTAAGAAATACGTGCCAGAGAAAATATTCGTATATATAATGAGCTGTGTGGTTATAATTTCTTTGTATCATATAGATAAAGCTTGATATACATATATATTTTTACAGATGATGCGCAACATTTTCCTCAAATGTTTCAATCTGTATAAGATGGGATATGAGCAGTCATTAAGTGAATCCTACGCCCTGAACCATATGAAGTTTAGTCCCCGCTTATTTGAGATAAAACTTTCCCAAAGATGTGAAACAGTGGCCTACTTCCACGATTGTGATACGTTTGTACTGGCGGAGGGAGAGGCGGCCTTATCATTTAACTTTCATACAGGTGAGTGTTCATCACATGTTCTAAAAGACGCGAAACTCTTTAAAAAGACAGACACAGTATTTTTTTTCTAGAATTAATTATACTAGATTTTGAACGATCAATGTAATATCATTTTATCTTTTTCAGGACTTGACATAAACCCAGCTATACGAGGTTTGATGTCCCTTTCAAAGTTCATAGAAATGATCTCATTAGCCGAAACCGAACATTCCATATCGAACGCTCTCCTATTTAAAATGAGGCATAATGAATTTGTCAGCAAGGATCTTATACGCAATGGACTGCGAGAATACATGTTCTCCTGATTAATTTTTATCCTTGGGAAAAGTACTCAACAATTTTCCCGAATCTATTTTTCGAAACTGCCGATTGACAGAGTTAGTGCCTGCATGTTGATGACAAAAAGTTCGGAGCAGAAAACATATCTTAGTGCGGATCGAGGAGCCCAGAAAATCACACATTCCTGACAGTTGAAATCAGCGTTAGATTATTGAACAAGTGTTGAAAACAACGTTTAGTCAGTTAGTCAGTTATCAGTGTTCTTGTACTTTTGTCTATTTTTGTTATTTATTGAGGTCTTTAAATAAAATTAAAATTGTATTTCTTTAAATGGTTCGCATATCATAATAAATTTTGATTTAAAAATATAAGAGTACAATCTAAAGTGTTGTGTAAAAAAAAAAAAAAAAGATGGCAGAGGCTGTGGAAACTAAAGGATAATTATATAAATAACAGGAATAATACTTTGGTATAATCTCCATTTAAAACCTAATTGGATTTTTTTTTAATTTATATTTTGCACAAAATAATTTTAATTAAATTATTGTGTACACAATGTTCATATGAAAAAAAAATCCATGATAGATTTCGGAATTGGGATTAAATCCAAGCGTTATACTTGGTCATGTTTTTTTTTCAGTTAGATCTAAATAATGCTACATCATACTAATGAAATTAGTATTTTATTTACATTTAAAAACTGAATTAGAATTAAACGTTCGAAGACATAAAGTTTCGTTAGTCTTAAAAATGTGCATTCATTTTTACTGTATCTTTGATATGATTATTATTAATTTCAGTTACTAGTAATTAAGTGTGAAGTTTTGCATTACTTGTCGATCTTTTTCGACAGATGCATCCAGCGTAAACAATTCATGTGATTGGTCAACTCATAGTATCAACATGGACACGGAAAGAGTCTGTTGCACTAGCAAGCAATCAGGGATTAGAAGAAAGTTCCAGTCGTAAAGCTTGCGGTTAGGAGGCGTGTACTATTTAATTTGAGCGCAGCTGTCATTATAGGTTAAGGTTGTGACGTAATGCAAAACTACACACTTAGCTGAAATTGATAATATTATAACCTATTAGCTTTTGGTGTGATTTATGACAAAGTAAATACACATATATAAATAGAACATATAATTTGAACCATTACGTATAATCATCGATTTGAGAGAAAAATTACTAGTATTTTATTGCCAAGTGACTGACTTTTGAGATATGACTTCAATTGAAGATCATAAATAACTACCGGTATTAGGACGTGTAGATATGCATGATGAATTTTGGGGAGGGGTCTGACCATTATTACCATTACAGTTAACGTATAAAATGTGTCAGTGGGAAAACTGTAATCACCCTGGAACCATGCACGCAATTGGATTTTCGAGTTTAGATTTTTTTTGTTTAACTTGCCCCTGTTTTTTTTTTCAGGTTAGATGTTTATTCTAACAACTGTCCTCCTTTCAAAAACAATATGTGTTTGTGAAATACTGATGCCCCCGTATGGCAGCTTATGACAAAGGTTGAAGTTTCACAAATACAAATCAAACTCCAAAGGTCAAGCTCAAGAGGTCAAAATTGTTTGTCTTCAAAGCTAGGTCTTGTCACAATTAATTTATGTTGTATATTTGTTATTTCTGTGATGTTTTAAGCTGTGATAGTCGGGTTAAGAGCTCTACAGAGCTCATGGTATGTGTTGCTTACTGTACTAAATGCCGACTTTAAATAAAATTTACTTACTTACAAACATCCTGATTGAAAGTAAACACATGTACTCTGACTAATCAAAAAGAAGCTTGAGCTTCTGATTGACAATATCTATGTTGTTTTTGGAGACCAGGTCTTCCAACAATCTATTGAAATTCCCATGGGTATTAGTTGTGCTCCGTTATTAGCAGACCTATTTTTGTATTCATATGAAGCAGAATGTGTGCAATTTTTTATGCGTGAAAAGAAGAAAACACTTGCTGTTGTCTTCATCTCGACATTTAGATATATCGACGACGTATTGTCAATTAACAATGGTAATTTCCATTCTTATGTCAATGCGATATATATCCTGGTGTGCTTGAAACAAAAGATACCACAGAGTCTGACACATCTGTTCCATATTTGGATATTTTACTTGAAAAAGACGTTAATGGTACATATATAAACCAAGCTCTATGATAAAAGTGATATGACTTTAACTTTTCTATCGTCACCTTCCTTACTTATGCAGTAATAAACCTTCATCACCTATGTACGGAATTTACATATCTCAATTGATTCGATACGCAAGAGCATGCTCTACGAATGAACACTTTCTAAAACGGAGCAAATTATTGACAAAACAAGTTGATGAAACAAGAATATCATCAGTCTCGTTTCAAATTCTATGGTCGATACAATGACCTTGTCAGCAAATACAATTTTTTATTCAGTTAAATGCTGACTGACGTTTTTCATTCTTATTGTTGGTCCATTATTTATACACTGAATTGACGACGAATTTTTCCGTTATTTCCCGATCATGAGAAGGAGCACACAGCGGGTGTGACCGATCGGCAGGGGATACTCACATCTCCATGGTACCTGATCCCACCTCTGATGTTTTGGAGGTTCATGTTTGCTCTGCTCCTATTTTGTATTGTTTATAGACTTTTTATCTTGAATACTATTCGTTATCCCCATATGTTTCATCACAGTACAGTTCTATTCATTGAAAACGAAACGTGTGATTTATTTATTTCATTACGTCTTACTAACAAACTAGGAAAAATTTGTCATTTATGTAGTTGCTTTGAGTAGGAAAGATTTTTTTTTACATTATCTATCATGCTTGCTTTTACAAATTTAAAAGCGAATGAGTATTTGTACAACTTAAATGAAAAATAATGTCAGATGGAGCTAGCAGGTATAAATAGTTTCGTATACAAAAATATTTCAATTTATTTTTCATATAAACTTGTGCCATAAGATTTTTATTTGTTTCCTTACTTTAAAATATATAATTTTCTCTTTTTGGAAGTTTAATATATGCGTAATCACTTTAAACAAGTTCAAGAATCATTCCATCGACTGGCTTGAATTTGTATAGCAACAAAGCAGCGTCAAGATGGCGGACGCGATACTCATCCCAGCACTGAAGGGTAAACCAAAAGCCCTAAACTTGTGCAATAAGAAACTAGACAGAGTCCCAAAAATCATCGGTAAACTAGACTGTATTTTACATCTACAGCTCCGTGGGAACAAATTAAAAACGTTACCAATTGAACTGAGTCATTTGTTTCAGGTAAATTATATTCAATATTGTTCAATACTCGTTCTCTCGCGGGTTCCATTGCATCGCGGTATATTCCAAATACTGTGCGATCCATAACCCCTAATCCAAAGTGATACAGTAATAAATATATATTGGTATTGCTTGTTTTAAAAAATATGCACCACCAATTGTTATACTCTCTTATTGTGATTTATTTTTCCTACAGTTACAGATCCTAAATTTAGGAAACAATGAATTTGAGGAATTACCCGAGGCCTTAGAATACCTAACAATGCTGGAAAAACTCCATCTGTTTAATAACAAACTCAAGATGCTGTCTCCAAAAGTGCTAAGTATGAAAATTAGCAAATTTTAAAAAAAATTGTTCATGCATTATGATCAGCACATTGTTATTGTATTTTGACAAATTATTGATATACAGCAAGTGTAATAAATTCAAAAATGCCTGTAAATCATGCCTAAACCATTTTAAAAATATTTTGTGGCCGTCAGCCAGGTTCGATTGCCTGTGGCCAGATGAGATAGCTCAGTTGGTAGAGCACCTGACTGGAGTTTCAGGGGGCTCGGTTCGAATTCCGGTTTGGTCCGCTGCATTTTCTCCTCTCCCGTTACATCTGGTGCCGTGCCATGCCCTAGAATTGACAGGTGAAAGACCTGCCAGGGATGAGCCTGGGTTGGGGTCTTTGGAGGGCCAAAGACCTTTAAGGAGGGAGGAATAAGGTGGTCATTTCATCGCCGGTGGCCAGATAGCTCAGTTGGTAGAGCACCTGATCGGAGTTTCAGGGGGCTTGGGTTCGAATCCCGGTTTGGTCCGCTGCATTTTCTCCTCTCCCGTTACAATTTTGCCAAAAGAAAAATATAAATTAATTTTTTTATGTTTCTTTAATTTATAATGCAGTGTTTCTCATTTTTAAATGTTATATCTTTCCTTATTTTAGCAAACCTCAGGAATCTAACATTCCTAAATTTAAATTCAAACAACCTGAAAACTTTTCCAGCTGAAATATGTAGGTAAGTAAAAATTAATTTCATATACGGGGGAAGGGGGGATTTTGACAATGGATTTTCAGTGAATTGTTAAAATTACTCTGAGAGTATAATTTTAATAATGCCCTGAAAAGTCTGTACCCAATTATTATGTCCCTAATATAAGCAAATACAATGAGCATTATATACTAGCTGTCTGCATAAGAGGAAATTTTAGCGAGACACAAAGAAAGTGGGCGCTTTAGATGGCGATTCGGCAGGAATAGTGGCTCATAAAAAGAATAAAAAAATATCATTGATTTATACATATTTTTCAAAACCTAGCCAACGACTGTGATTTAGGTGAATGTAAAATGGGCAAATATTCAGTTAAATATGTTTGATTTTATTTGAATATGCACCTGAATATAGCCGTACGAGTCAAATGATGCAAAAATCGACTCTTTTATAGCCGTTTTTCATCAATTTTGTTGTTTCTGGGTCTTCTCTCCATGAATTTTAAATGCGTTATCAGTGAAATTTTAACCGTTAAATCTATTTCAGTTGTCAAAAAAATGGAGAGAAATACCAAAATCTAAACTTTTTTCATTTATTTTCTGGTAGAAAATTGACAAAGTCCAATTGTGTGGGCTTTGACTTTAAATAATGATTTAAATACCAGCTACGTATAGTGTCCCGCGGTAGCTATATTGGTTTGTCGCTGGATTCGAGCCATATCGAAGCAGCATTTTAGGTTCGAATACTGTGATTTTCTTTATTTTATTTTTTATTTTTGCTTGAAATTTTAGAAATGGTAGTAAAAAAATACTCCTTGAATAAAGTTGCAGGTTATGTTTAAAATTTATAAATTATTTTACATTAATTGTTTTATTTTTCAGTGCATTCACATTTTGTCATTTATAGTGCTAACATTCTAAATTGAAATTACCATACATGGACTTGTAACTACAAAGTTACACCTGATGAAAAAATATTGAATATATTTAAAAAAAAAAAAAAAAAATAGGAACTTCGATCGTTCTGTTACATTCAATATTTGCAGTGCATTTGAAAACTGAGCACAAATATTATACTTCTATTATATTCTATTGAATGTATTCAGCAAAGATATAATTTGTCTTTCATGACACCTATTGCTTGAAAAAAATTATTTACAAATAAACAAATGTAAGACAGAAATCCATTCCAATGAAGTTTCTAGGTTCATTGCATACTGTATTAAAACAACATGGTGCTTGGACATTTAAATCTGAATTGTTTCGTGTCAATGATTCCTGCCGACTGCCTATCTAGTGCGCCCACTTTCTTTAGTGATTTATCCTTAAAAACTGGTATTTTATTTTAGCCAGATTTCATTTTAGCAATTTTTAAATGCTCACTTAAGAAGCAATTACAAATAGAATGCAGTTTAAATTTTTAACAATATTCACTTTTAGTGATCTCAACTGTGGCCTTCGCTAATAATCTCCAAATTAAATCCTCGCTAAAAATTTTGCTTATACGGCACTATAAAGGAAATTTTGTTGTGTGTTTGCATTAAAAAACCTAGCATTAATTCTCATCCTTACAAAAACATGATGACTGTCTAGCATATCAAAAAATAAACAAAACAAATGAATAAATAATGAAATCTCCATCGCCAGCCTATATCCCCCCATCTTTTTTATAGTATTTTAAATGCGGGCTTAATAACAAAATCATTGTGATTATTCTAAATTAATTTAATTTTAGTTGTAACACATCATTTGATTTTATCCATTTTGTATAACATAACTTGCCTACGTCACAATGAGTTACGTCAAAAACGTATTACTCCGCTTGACATTTACTTTTAAAATATGTGATTTTTTAAGCCTTTTTTTGAAGGAAAAAATGGAAAAATTGTCTCATTGTCTACATTGAAATTAAATTATAAGGAATGAAGCTTATTTCAACTTATGTTATACGATATAACATAACTTGGGCCAGTTTACGCTTTTTTATAAACCGCATTGTGGTTTATAAAACGTAAACTGCCCCAATTTATGTTATATAGTATAACAAAAACTGAAATAAGCTTCATTCCTTAAATATTAAGTAATATGATATTGTGCTTAGATGATTGAACCCTTTAATGATAAATTTTATCAGTTTTGCATGAAATTTTTCTAGCATTGAATTTGTTATTTAAGTTGCATATAACATACTCAATTTGTACCTGTTGTGTTAGTCTTTTCTACATTGTTATTTATTGTTTTTTGTTTTTTTTTCAGGTTGTCCAGTCTCCAGCACCTCTCTGTGGATTATAACCAGCTAACGGAGCTCCCTGTAGAGATGTGTGCCTTACTCCGCCTGGAGGAGTTCCACGCCGCCAATAATCAGCTGACTAGTCTTCCTCTAGAGTTTGGGTTCCTGGTTAACCTAGAGAAACTTCACCTACAGAAAAACAAAATTAGAGAACTTCCAGAGGTAATATTTAAGATAAACAAGACTCCCTCTAAGAATGATTTAAATCAAAATAGGAGACATTATCAAGGAGTATATTTGTTTATGTTCTTTTAAATCAGAATAAAGTCACACAATACAGAGAATTTGTTTAATAGATAATAACTAGTACATTGTCATCCATTTTAGAGTCTTGGAAAATGTTATAAACTGAGGACTCTAGACATTGCTGCCAATGAGCTCAGGATATTTCCAACAGAGGTACGTCAAAAAAGGGCAATACTAGTTCCTCTCCATAGACATATAGGTAAATGTAACAATTCATTGTGTTTTTAGGTCACCTGAGTCACTCAGGTGACCTATTGCTATCCGTTTTTCCTTAACATTTGAACATTTTCATTTTTCTCTGAAACTGAATCAATTTCATATATATTAATTATTTATGCATTCAGGGTTGTACCACTAAAATTTTTTTAAAAATCTTCTTCTTTAAAATCAAGTGTTGGCATGAATGTAATCTCATCCCTTTAAAATTATGAAATTCACAGTACTGTGAAGGGAACTCTTTATATAGTGAAAATGCATTATTCTCTGCTCCTGGGTATTAAATAAACTAACTACCAGGTAAGTATATAGTTGATGGAAGTTCTGTCAAAGTTTGAAAGGTAGGGTCAGGGGTTATGGTGTCAATCAAATATATATAGTGAAAATGCATTATTTCTTTGAACAATAAACCCTGTACATAGAATGGACAAAATCAAACACTTAAGTATAACATTAAAATCAAATGTTAAAATATATTAAAAAATGAACTAAGCTTTATACAATGCCTCTTCTAAAATTGTAATTTTAATATATTTCTGTCTTTTTATATAGGAAAATGCAATGCTAAAATTTTCTTCTCTGATTAAATAAACAAACTAAGTAATAGAACTCAAAGACAGGTAAGAAGTTTAATGTATTCGTTTTAGAAGAAAATACATTTTTTTTCTTTTCCTTTTTTTTTTATGTAATATATATTTATGCAACATGTATTTTTTTTATGATAAATTCAAATCTGAGCTTCATTAATCAACCATTTTATGAAAAACATTTGCAAAATTTTGAAATATGTGGCCCAGGGTCAGTGGTTCCTTTGGGATGAAGTGCAAAACTTGTTATAAAGTGGAGGTGCATTTTCTCTTTGTTACTCTGATCTACCTCTGGGTATTAAGTAAATAGAGTAAACATGATAGGTTTATAATTTTGAGAAGCAATGGATATGGTGCCTTCGTTATATCCGTAAAACATGAAGTTAATTGTTTGAAAGTTCATTAAATTTATATATGATGTTGTCAAGCCTTTCATTACACTGAAAACAAAAATAATTGTTTTCTTTTGTATATATATTAGTCAACACCAAAATAAGGCATAATTTTTTTTATGCATTCATGTTTACTTTTTTTAACAGTTAAGTGCTCTCCCTTTGAAAGAGATGTACTGTATACATATCTGAACATACAGGAGGAGGAAGTTCTGTCACTAAAGGTAGGACTAAATCAAATATATAGAGATCCTACAACAAATCCCTGTCTAGAAGGACAAAATCAAATATATAACAAAATCAAATGTTTAATACCTGCACATATATAAAAGCTTCTACAATGAAAGATCTTGGTGAAAAAGATAAAAATTTTTTAATTGTATGTAATGATATAATTCAAAGAGAGATTGTAAGAATGATATATCTGCATTATCCATGCCAAAAAAAAAAGACCTTGGTGAAAAAGATTAAAATTTAATTATTCAAAGAGAGATCAAAGACGCAATCTGTGCCTATTGAAAGTGTCTGTGTGTGTGGCCTGTGGAGGGGGGGGGTATGCCCCAATGTTCAATGCCTATGTGATGTCTATCTTTGCAAAAGAAGGAGCCAGGTTAGGGCCTTAGAAAGAGATCAGAAGTTTACACCCTAATATGTTGAATTTTTAAGCAAACTTAGAGAGAGAGAGAGAGAGAAGGGCCTTTGGATTTGATAACAGAACAAAATTTATTTACAATCTACATGTAAATATCAAAGAATTGTTTCTAGTTGGCGAGCATTGTGGATAAATTATTTTTTGTTTTTAATTTTTATTGTTTCTGTAATATATATGTAAATTTCAGCCCAGCTGGAGGAAAAGACAGGTGATATTTTTAACTTGGCATTTTTAATGGATGCTTGTCAAGAGTTGTTCCCCTTTGAAAAAATGCATAATTCTACATTTTTTACTTCATGATAACATGCTTGTTGTGTTGTACAGCCCTGCAAAATGAGCTTTATGTATTATTAATGTTGTTTATGCTTTGGGAAAAGTAAAATATTTAACAATAGGGAGATTCCTGTTGGTTTCTAAATGGGATTCAAAGTTGATTGACAGTTAAATGTTTGGAATCAAACTTAATTCATCATTGACCAGGAAAAAACATACCCCATACACAATTCATACCGATTGTTGATCTTTGAGTGAAAACTTTTATATATTCTTCCATTTTTCAGGAACATGATGTGTTCTATTATTCCATACCTGAGTATTTATGTAATTACTTTTGCCAAATTTTCGATTTAAAATTTGACAAACACATTAGTCCTTGTCAAGCCAGACACAGACTATTGTTATACCTTTAAAAATTTGATCCTATACAAATCTATACAAAAAAAAGTTTAACATTTCTAATGTTTTGCTGAGCGGGCATAAAAAAATGGATGTTTGACCGCTGAGTGAGATGTTGGACTGTTCAATGAGATGTTGGACCGCTTCCAGCACAGAATGGGCAGAGCTTAATCTCATTTTCATTTCTTTGTGTTCAAAAGGGACAGACCTGAGGTCACATCACATGTCAAAAAAAAAAGTAAAAGGAATGGTATAACAAAACATTTATTGACTATGTTCACAGGCAAAATGCGGTTTGTCAGACCCAAGAACCAAACTGTCTGCCTGAGGCCATTAGGCCTCAGGCAGACAGTTTTGTTCTTGGGTCTTAAAAAAAATGCATGCTGACCTCAAACTCAAGTCAATAAATCTATATATCCCTACATAATAATAAATGCCCTCCTCTCTCCTGTAGATGGTCATACCTGCGTCGTGCGATACGTCATTACCCCCAGATTAAAGAGATGCTGGCTCAGGCCAGTAAATGTGCAGTGTGTGGAGAGTCCTTCCTCAACACCTGGCTCGAATGTGTCTGTTTTGTGGATGCCAAAGAGGTAAAAATGCACTTGACACGTTGCAATCTTGAAGTCATCTACTTACAATTCCTTTTCTTGGACTGATTTGTGTAACATTAATATAAAAGTAAATTGGCATTATTCTTCATTTAACTCCCAGTTTATTTTATTCCATTTCTGAAATTTTTACAGGTATGTTCATTTAATCCTTTTCTTTTGGTTTTAAACAATTTTCTTGCAGATGTTCTTTAAGAGAGAAGTTTGATAAAATCTCAAATAACTTAACAACATTAATTTTCTTTAGGACTTGAAGCTAAACAACTTGTCTGGCCTGATTCCAGTGCGTGCATTACTCTGCTCCTATCGATGCTTCAACTCTTCTGGACACGATTACTATGGTGTAGCGTTTCCGTGATAAATAATGCTCTTCTAAGGGAGATAATTCCTTCTGTCACATTTAACGACATCCTGAATATTTGATAATTCACAACCTTCACATTCCACATTCACAGTGGATCCTCATGCATTTAATGTTACATCATACACTGATGGAATCTGATACATGTCAAAAAGGTTTTGTGAAAGACAATATTTGTCCTCCACACCCTAAGATATCTGATATCTGAGATTTAGTGCGAGATATTCTTTTACAAAATTTAGAAAACATCATGACCATGGATAATAAAAGCATGAATAGATAAGCATTTTTTTAACAATATTACTATTAATATGTCTTGAAAGTTGTTATTGTTATGTATTGAAGATTATTCCTTTTTGGAGGTTTGTTATAGATTCAATATTTTGTAATATTACAAAGTTTTTAATTTTGTTATATCATTTTGTACATGTATACAAGATGTCATTTTGTTTTTGAAATGAAAGTCTATTTTTGTTTTTTACATTTTATGAAATAATATATTTTATCATCATGATTTATATTTTATCATCAATTGTAATTTTTATTTATGTACAAACTTATCTATCAATATGACAAAATAAAATTTACAATATTTTCCCTCATTTTTGTTAAAATTGACAGCCACATAATAGCTTTATAGCAGAGGGTTATTAGTTCTTAAAAAAAAAGGTACTGTGAGCAATGAGCTTGCTAAATGATACCCCCAGCCTCCCTTATGATTATAATGCCAAAGTCCATGTTTTGCTCTAGGAGACTCTATGTAAGTATCTGATCAAAAAGTATAATAAGAGTTGCACAAAGGCATTACGTAATAAAGAATCTGTGAAAGTATCATTAAAATTTATTCAGTTAAAGGAGGAGTAGCGATGGATAAGATAAGATATGATAAGAGATGGGTAGCCTTCAATTTTATAGAAAGAATGGCCATGTCCATGTTTTGCTCTAAAATAGGTGCACAATGGCACTCTGAAACAAAAACTCTATGAAAGTCTCATTTTAAATTTCATTCAGTGGTATAGAAGGAGTTGCACATGGGAGATGGGTACCCCAAATTGTAACAGATGGACGAATGTACAAACAGATGAACAGACATCCCGATTACACATGTACTGTATACCCTCTCACTTTTCAAGCAGGGGGGGGGGGTGTGTATAAAAATTCCTTGGTTTAGTCTACTTGTTTACCAAGTTATACTGATTGACCACAATTATAGGAGCATTTTAAAAATTTACACACTAGGGACATCTTTTTAACAAATAAACTCTTCTGGTCTCTGACCTATGGAACTAAAACTGATAATGAATATATATGTCATTATGAATTTAATAAAAACTCTTTTTCATGACACACAGCACTACATTATATATCAAAAATCCTCATCTGACCAGTTCCAGGGAATACACACTGTTCCGTCATCTGTAACGGAGTAATACTGAGTCACTCTCATACTAATGCCCTCCACGCTGGTCACAATATCACTGTAACGGTCCATCAGTCTCTCACAGCACTGAGTCATTTGAGCCGGCGAAATATTCAGGTCTTTTTCCAGGTCACAGAGACCTAGTTTATCTCGACATTGTTCTATCACTTCATCTTCAATCATCCTCAAACTAAAACAAAGCATGACATTACTCTGTAAAAATAGTCTTTTTCTTATCAATATTTAAATGGCTGTACAAATTCAAAGCTGAGTGGAGTACTTTTCATGATCAGAATCATTGCACGTACAACATTGAAATTCTGCTGGTTTTAAATGATTCATGTTCTTTTCAGTGGTGTTATATGTATTTCTAAGATGGCATTCCTTTGTTATAATTACTTTGCTTGGTGATATTTTTGCTTGGTGATATCTACTTCTTTATTTTGTACTTACGAGATGGAATCCCTAAGTAGTTCTTCTGCTTGGTGCTGAGTGTTCTTGATAAACTCAATAATCATTGAGCCTGGCATAGACACTGGAATTAAATACTGCCCCAGGTTTGTCAAGGTCAGAGGTGCTGATGAACTGCCAAAAAATGAACTAAGATAAACAATTACCTAGAAAAATATCTTAAGGTACTGTAAGCAAACTTACAAAGGATTGTACAAATGCCATGACTGCAATATTTTGTTAAGTACCTATTTGCAATTTGTAAATATGACCTTAAACTTGCCAAAATGATCTTGGATTTATAAAATAACACATCCTCTGTCAAAAGTATTTGTTGAATAAATTATGGACATCCAATGTTTCTCCATAAGAAAAGTATAGGTTTGTGAATTTTACAATTTTTCTATAAGTGACCTTTAACTTGCAAACATGACCTTGGGTTGATTAAGTTTGAACATAGAATCCTCTGATCATAAGTAAAAAATTCCCATAACAAAGTCAAAGTTATAGACAGGAAATTCAACATGAATTTTATACGTTTTTCTACTAGTGACCTTGAACTTGCAAGAATGACTTTAGGTCAAGTTAACGATGCATCCTCATGTCATAAACACCTTCAGAAAATATCTGAATAAGCATTGCTGAAATGCATTTTAATTACATTATCTCTTCCTGAAAAGAATCATTTAAAAGTCATTTGGTTTTTTTTTCTTACTTTGTAATTGAACTACATGTATAAATATCTTACCCTTCCACCACCATTTCTAAGTGAGAAAGGTCACGGCCTTTGAACCCTCGCCTAACAAGATCCTGATTCCGTCTCAAGGTGTTTAAAATCTTGTTCAACAAAAGTTCATATTCTTCTGCCATAACAATGTGGTGACGTTCACGCCGACGTATCTTAATGTGACATAATAATCGAGACAATTCAAGTTCCATGTATGGAAGACGTTCTAATACTGCATCATATGCTGGGACGGAAGTCAGCCTCTGAAATGTCAAATATTTTCCCATGAATGATTTTGTTATCTTCAAAAAATGTTTCTTTAGAGTTCAAGATAGTTGAAATAAACATTCAACTTTTAAATTAAGTCTCTTTGTAGAGAAACATTTTCTTTAATGTAATCATTTCTCACCAGCACATAAAGGATAACTTTTATTAATCTATGGTAAAAAATATACCACTGTCAATGTACAACATGGCTTCTTTTTTTCACTGAGAAACATTTCAATTTCTTTAAAGAATTTATTATAATCTACTAAGCAATTATTAGTGGCATACATTTTTCAACATTTTTATTAGCTAAACTATTCAAATATTAAATATTTTTTTTTTTTTATTAAAAAATAGGAGTTGTGAACTTTACATATTCAATCATACACTTAACATGAAACATTGCATTGCATATAAAAGATTCAGAACTTTACACTACCTGTCGAATGGTTTCAGAACCTTACACGTACCCAAGTAAGGAATCAGAACTTTACACATACCCCTATAAGGGATTCAGAACTTTACATATACCCTTTTAAGGGATTCAGAACTTTACATATACCCTTATAAGGAATATTCAAACTTTACACATACTCATAAAAGGGATTCATAACTTTACTCATATCCATACGTGAATGAGGAATCAGAACTGTACACATGCCCATATAAGGGATTCACAACTTTACACATACTCATAAAAGGGATTCACGACTGAACACACATCCATATTTATACCTACCATTAGCCAGACTTGTGGGACATCTGTGTGGTTAAGGCACACCTCTCCTGACAAACTGACACCATTTCTGTCACTGATTACAACGTCTCTCCCTGTCAAGAGATTGGAACTACATTGTATTTCATCATACATACGGTACAAGCTAGAAGACTTTCCTCCTATCTATTATAGGCCATTACAGGTATAGAATGCATACAATTTTGGAAAGCATTGTTTGAATTAGCACAAGTAGCTGTATAAAACACATACATATATAATAGTATTTTACCAGCCAAGTATTTTTGGACCATTTCTGGGTGGTTCTCAGAGACCTTTTCCAGTGACGTTAAGCAGGCAGTGTATCGACGCGGTCCCCAGTTAGTGTGCCATTTAACTGCTCTCACCCCCACCAACTTTTTCAACCTCTTTGTGATGTCCTGAACATCCTTTTCATATTCTTGAGACTCCTTTGTGTTTTTTCTTGAGATTTTAGAATTAGTTTTTAACCATGATCTGTAACAAATAAATACATTATCTAAATTATAAGAAAAAACATCAAATAGATCACCATTTGTATAAACAAACCAGCAAACCGGGTAAGTATAATCTCTAGCTTTATTCTGAAACAGCTGAACCTGTGGCTACAATAAAGCCACTCTTTCAATCGAACCAAAAGGAGAAACCACACAAGGTTCACATAAAATGACAATGTAAAAGAGCTAAGAATGTCTAAGAGTGTATAGTATTGAGACTTTCTTTGAATAGGAATCACTTTTTCAGTGTATTCAGTCATCAAATAATTTTTGCATTAACTTATTTATCAGATTTTTGAAAAAAATAAACTAAACACATTGACATACAAGCATAAATGGTACATGTAGCTAAGCCACTTATGTATCTACAGAACCAATTGTCATGATACTGATGAGCATTTTGCATTTATCGTGATCTCCATCCTCACAATGTAAGGAGTCCTGTGTCAATTTATTGCCATGAGACCCCTGACAAATTTCATTATCTTTTTTTTTTATGCGCCCGGATCGATAGATCCAGGGCGTATATTGTTTTTGTCCTGTCTGTCTGTCTGTTTGTTTGTTTGTTTGTCCCAAACTTTAACCTTCACCATAACTTTTGAACCATGAAAGATAGAGACTTCATATTTGGTTTGCATGCTTCACTAATTAAGCTCTTTCAAATGACACCAAGGTCAATGACCTTGTGACCTTGACTGTGGCCTATATGCTAAAAATAGCTTTTTTTCTGCAAACGTTAACCTTCGCCATAACTTTTGAACCATGAAAGATAGAGACTTCATATTTGGTATGCAAACTCCACTAATCAGGTTCTTCCAAGTGACACCAAGGTCAATGACCTTGTGACCTTGACTGTGACCTTAATGCTAAAAATAGCTTTTTCCGAACTTTGTTGCCGCCGGGCGCATAGTGTTTCACAAACACATCTTGTTCTCGACTTTTAACAAATCACATTAAGCCTGTTGGAAATGAACAATACAAAATGTGCATTTAAATGTCAATTGATTTCTTTCCTTTGACTTTATCTACATACTTCAATTTGATTGGGCCTCATAAATGAGATAAGTGAGCTGAAAATGACAAATGAAATTTTTCAGGGGTGCCACAGCACAGTCCAAGATTATACAGGACCCCTTGCAATGTGAAGGTGGTGACTCCCATACAATTCAAATGCCACAAACATGTTTAGCATTCACTTACATCAAATTCAGTTTTGTGACTTTTCTGTAAAATGCCTCACCACCTTTCCGCCCAGCAAAAATGTCTCCAAAGTCAGGTCCATGGTACACCCTTCTTTTAGTAGATATGGGAACATCTGATAAAGTGTTGATGTAATCTAACGGCAAATGACAGGAAGTCAGAACCGTTGCTACAGTATCCCGAATACTGGGTGATGCCAAGTGAACTTTTACACGATTTAGACCTGTCATGGAAAATTCAAAATGTTTAGTAAACAATTCAAAAATGGACTATTCCAAGTATACAGTGGACCTTCATATATCCGGACCCCA